TTTATTTCAATACTATTCCTATCAGTGAACATTCAGAAACAGCAGAAGTGCTCAGTATGGGCCAGGGTTATACACCTTCAAGATGGAATATCTGATAACACTGAACATGTCTTTATACTCTTTTAAAATACATGTGTTTGGGCCTGGAGTGATAGTGTAGTGGCTAAAGTCCTCACCTTGAACGCACCGGGATCCCATTATGGGCGCCGGTTCTAATCCCAGCAGCCCCACTTCCCACCCAGCCCCCTGCCTGTGGCCTGGGAATGCAGTCGAGGATGGACTAAAGCCTTGGCCCTTGAGACCCTGCACCTGCATTGGAGACCTGGAGGAGGCTCCTGGCTCCTGGCTTCAGATTGGCTCGGCTGTGGCCATTGTGGCTGCTTAGGGAGTGAACCATTGGATAGAAAATCCTCCTCTCTGTATATCTGCCTTTCTGATAAAACAAAGAAACAATAACAACACAACAACAACAACAAAACAGTACCATAAGCAGCTGCCTTTCCTAACATGGCAAAACTTTCCTTTGTATCTTTGTTAAATATTTGGACATGAGCACAGTCTTTCTGATTGGAATAAGACAGACTGGGGTCGTAGATGAAGTGGCCCTCAACAAAACAGAGAGACTCACTCTGAACGCCTGGCCTTCTCTGCCACGCCTTTCTTGAGCAGGAAAAATCATTCCTTCCCAGCCCCGTGTCCCTCCTCCGCTGCTGCCTGCAATTTTCATACAAGTCCCCTTCTCTTTTTTTAAAAAAAAAATCTTTGGTAGACAAGGAGCTAATTAATATGATTTTTAAAAATAGCCTCTGGAAGCATAAAATGTCACATAGCCGCTCAACTGCCACAATATTTTGTGATGTGTCTGATTAAACTCCCAGCCCGCAGCCTGCAGTCCTGCCTCCTGGCTGTTCCAGAAGCCTCTTCCTCCCTGCTGCCGCCAGCCTGCTGTCTCAGGGCGTGTGGAAGCACAGGCTCCCCGTGACTCCTCCAGACGCAGCTGTCTGTCTTTGAAGGTAAACGAGATGAATGATTCACATGGAGCAAACGAAACTCTGGCTCTCAGCGACATCACGAGGCAGCTCCCTTGCCTGAAGGACAAGCAGATGAGTACAACGCCTGGACCAGAATAGCAGCACCCTGCTTCTCGGAGCACAGCTTTAACAACAGAGGCTGGGGCCAGCACTGTGACGAGCACACCAAGCCTTGGCCTGCAGCAGGAACCAGCTGGTCCACTGCCACTGGCCTAGGAGAGCAACGAAAGGCGGCCCAGGTCAGCGGGAGACACAGAAGCTCCTGACTTCAAACCGGCCCTGCTCTGGCCGTTGTAGCCGTTTGGGGAGTGAACTGGTGGATGGAAGACCTTTTTCTCTGTCTCCTTCTTTCTGTAAATCTCCCTTCCAAGTAAAAATAAATAAATCTTAAGGAAAAAGAAACAAAAAACTCAAAATGGATGAGACTTAAACCTAAGACCTGAAAACATAAAACTCCTAGAAAACAGCATAGAAAAAAGATTTTGACATTGGTCTTAACAACATTTCTGATACAGTGTGGCAAAGAATTTAAGACTGCAGAGATGACAGTGAGCTGAGCATGCACTAAGCTCGGCAAGACTCACTGAGCTAAGTGTATTGCATTGTTCCTGCAGGAAAATGATACGCACTATGACATTGTACAGGACAAAATAGGTCTGTGTGGCCCTCAGACCTAACAGCCAACAGGTTCCAGCAACAAGATCAGCACCACCAACAACCTTACTATATAGGACACCTGGTGTCTACCTAATCCTGGGACCTGCTCCAACCAGAAGTGGGAGAAAGGTTGTATAGACAACAGTGCAGCCTCAGCATGGTATCACACAAGTTGCAGACTGGTGAGCCAGGAGCTAGAGTTACAGAGACCATGGTGGAAATCTAACGTAAGAACCCAGACCTGGAACTCGCTGGAGGGAGTGGCACAAGTGACTGTAAACAAAGAGCCAACCAACTACAATAAGTAAAATTGAACTGTAGGTTCACAGTTTATTGCACAGCTTAGAAACCTGCCCCAAGGAGAAGAATCTGATAACCAGAAGTACAATGTCCAAGAGCAAAAGAAGAGACAAAGGCACAATGAATATTTCTGAAGACTCTCCTGTAAAGGCACAAAACCCTATGCCAACCTCAGAGTTCACTGAGGAAGGCATCGAGAACATGGAGGATACAGAATTCAAAACACTGGTTATAAAGCTTCTTATCAACAATGAGAAGCACATAAAGCAGGCATTCAAGGAATTTAAGGAATATGTCACACCGGAAATGAATCAAATGAAAGCTGACATATTAGAAAAGAAGAATACAGTGGAGCAAGTTAATATACAGTGGAGAGTCTCCAAGATAGAATGAAGCAAGCAGAAGAAAGAATCTCAGAGTTGGAAGAGATTTCCTGTCACCATGGGGAAACAAACAAAAAGCTGGAAGCAGAGCTGGATCAGGCCAAAAAGAGTATGCAAAAATTGAAAGGCACTATTAAAAGGCCAAATATAAGAGTTATGGGAGTCCCAGGAGGTGCAGAAAGAGAAGCTGGGTTTAAAAATGTATTTAATGAAATAATAAGGGAAAATTTCCCTAATGTAGAGGAAGAATTGGGAAACAACATCTAGGAGGGGCACAGAACTCCCAATAGGGTTGACCAAAAGTGGTCTTCACCATGACACATGATAATCAAGCTCTCATTAATCAAACACAGGGAAAAGATCCTTAGATGTGCACGTGAAAAAATCAACTGACATATATAGGAATGCCAATTAAAGTCACAGGAGATCTCTGACGGGAAACTCTACAGGCAAGAAGAGAATGGAGAACATATTCCAGATTCTAAAGACAAAAAACTGTCAGCCCAGGATAACGTACCCTTCAAAACTTTCCTTTGAAAAGGAAATAAAATTCTTCCACAGTAAAAAAAAAAATGTTAAAAGAATATGCCTCTTACAAATCTGCTTACAAAGGATACTCAAAGATGTTCTCTTGACAGAGAAGAATAGCACCTACCAAAACCAAATGCAAATGTGAAGAACATCCCAGTAAAATGACAAAAGAAGACTAAACCAATGAACAACCCATTGCTAAAATGACAGGACCAAATTACCACTCATTCCTATTAGCCCTGAATGTAAACAGCTTAAATTCATCAATCAAATGTCATGAATTAATAGGCTACAGTAAAAAGCAAAAACCATCTATTTGTTGCCTACAGGAGACAAATTTTACCAACAAAGATCAGCAGAAACTATATCTCATAGATTTTGATTTTTTTTGTTACTTTCATCTCTTCAAAACATTTTTTTTCTGATTAAATTCTTCAATGACTCAGATCATACAGTAGCATCATTTTCTTCAAGAAGGTTCTTGATTTTCATTTCTTCAATGACACATTAGTCATTCAGTAGCATGTTATCTAACTTCATGGTGTTGTTAATTTCTTTTTTCTCCCTGATGTTGATTTTCTTTTGTGGCTTTTCATTTAAGGGGATGTATAGTAGCTGTGTAATGGAGACTATCATATCCAGATGTGAGGATACAATGCAGTATGCATCTCTACTTTCAGACAAAGATGGACTCCCAATGAAACTCTTTACTACATCTTGACAATAGGATGCTGGACCCTCTGCCATTGTCCATGCCCGCAATGATGGACATATGACTGTGTATGAACAAAGTAATAATATAGGGGAACTCAGTGATCGGGGAGGGAATTGGGGAGAGGATAAGGGAAATGTATGATCTATGGAACTATATTGTAAAATGATAATAATTAAAAGAAGTAAAGTTTTTAAAAAAGATAGCACACCAGCTAGGTTCTGGCATCAGCTCCAGGATGCTGACCACTCAGTATCTGTACCCTGAGCTAATCCGGGAGCAGCTGTGAGGGTGTTAATGACATCAAAAGTGTTTCACAGAATGGTCTCGAGGTTGTGCAGCTGGCTCTGCTCCCAGCTCTGACCAGCTTACGAGCCTGAGACAGTCGCCCACCATGAGTGGTTTCATGTCCCACTTAATCCTGGCCTCTTGTGGAAGTGCAGAGGAAACAGGCCTGACCCCTGGCCCTCCTCTCCCTCCTCCTCACAGGTAACTCACGCAGCAGGTCCCACGGTTGCCTTTCCTCCATGGTCCTGCATATACCTGCTGCTCTCCATCCCCATGGCCAAGGGCTCAGCTTTGGCATCATCCCACACTGCACCATCCAGGTGCACCTTCCCCAACAGCCGCCCGCCTGGCCCCACCAGCCCCGCCTACATCCTTCCCTGCCACCACTGCTGAGCCTGGACCCGTGCCAGGCCCCTGCTCTAGCACTGCTGCTGTGCCTCCGGGAACAAGGGCCTTGTCTGCTGCCACCCTGCGCTCACTGCCCCTTCTGCTCCTGCACTTCCCAGGCCATGCCCCTTCTCAGGAAGTTCCTATAGCTGTCCTCTCTCCCGACTCCCATCAGCACTTGCCAGAACACCTGCTCACCCCGAGGTGCCTCTTCCGGGAACCTCAATGTCACCCCACCCCACTGCTCCCTGGAGAGGATGCTCCCCTTTGCCAAGGCCACACAGGGGCAATCAGTTGAACTGAGGTTCACACCCAGGTCTTCCTGTGCCCACAACAAAAGGTCAAAACCAGAAGACTGAGTAATTACTTATTTATTTAGAAAAAGACTCAGTGGTGAGGTTGAACTTGGAAAGGTATCCAAGTACATTCAATGACACAGGAAGTTGCAGCATACTGTGACGGCACTGACTATTCAAGAAGTTTAAAAAAAAAAAAAAACCTTACAAACTGTGTGCATTTCAGAGAGCTTAACTTGCAGAATGAAGGCCACAGGAACACCCCCAAATCATGCACCAAAGTCAAAGGGACAGCAACTTCTCTCCAATTACATGTAAGGGACCTGCCACCCCAAGGCACACCCCAAAAATGGCTACAGTGAGCCTAGTAAGAGAGAGAACATGCAGGTGTGGCCAGCTGGGGAGCTGCTCTTACCTTTCCCAGGAGCTGGGGCAGACCCAGCAGCTGGCCAGTGAGCACGCCGACACAGATGAAGATGGCCGTCACCTGCCCCAGGGAGCCACGCAGCTCCTTGGGCGAGATCTCGTTCAGGTACAGGGGGAGCGCGCTGAGGGCGATGCCTGTGGAACACGCGTGGCAGCTGTGAAAGCACTGTCTTCCCCACCCCAGTGCTCGCGGCACTGAAGCCAACACTCAGTCACCTTCTGGAGAGGCTGTGTGAAAGCTCAGACATGCAGACAAACCCTGGGGAGAGTAGCTGCAGCCAGCAAGAACGCCCTAGACTCCTGCACTCACCCAGGAGGCAGACAGAACTGGACTGGGGTCCCCTCAAGAGCCTTGGGTTCCTTTGGTCTCTGGCCTATGGAACTGTGGAGTCTAAATGGCTGCTGTCTCAAGGCACCCTCTATGTCACAGGAGTCACAGGGATGCAGACACCTACTTCGAGAAGCCCTCTCTCCCCAAGAGAGCCCAGTACTGGACCAGGAGCAGGTGTCCAGCTGTCCTCTGTTGAATGAGGCCCCAAGGGCTGATCACTCTAACACAGTTGACACAGTCCGGCTCTTGCACAGACCGGGTGCCCACAGAGGGTCAGCGATGGTCACACAGGACTCTGCTCTGCGGGAGAGGCCCACAGACCAGTGCATTTTCTGACAGGGCTGCAGCGTGCTCTGACTCCTGCCTGGAAAGTCCAGCAGCCATCCTACATGCCCAGCCCTGCAGCCCTTCCAGAGCCTTCATTCTCCTGGAGAACACAGCCTGAGAAGGAGGGGACATCTTGTGTAATGCATGTAGAGTTGGCCTGATTTCTGGAAGTTTCTCAAAACCCCAAAGCTGGAGAGACTGGGGTTACAAGTTCTCTAGGAACCCCTGGAGATGAGAGAGCTGCTGTAGGGACAACTTAGATGTGTTATTGTACATCGGATGCAGCAAAAATCTGGACACAGCATTTCACTGATGATAACATTTAACCTGTGAACATTACAGTGTGGTATAAAATGAAACATCACACCTACTTGAACTCCACCTGTGTCAGAAGAAAGCTTACAATGCAGCATCCAATATGGCGCCAGCCTTACTGGCTCAGACTGCACTTCTCTTCCTGTTCCCCAGAGGTAATCACTGGGCTGTCCCCATCGGCTAGTGAGTGGAATCAAGACTGTTTCCTTTGTGTCTTCCTGCTTCCAGTGTGTGGGGCTGTGTATGAAGAGCAGTGGTGGAGCTGGACTTGGTGCATTCCCATGGCCTGGACCTGGAGTATGCGCACATGGGCAGCTCTCTGGGTGGACGCATGTAGAATGTACAGGTGCACGTGGCTGCTCAGTTACAAGGCATCCACGGTGAGTGTCAGCAGGGCAGAATTCTGTCAAGTCATGACTTCAGGAGGGTTAAGGCAGGGACAAGTTGCTGTCCTCGAGCCTCTGGAAGCTGCAAATGGCAAGGAAGCAGTGTCTCTCCTAGGCCCTCTAACCCTGAACACCTGTGCTGGCCTCCTCACTTCTAGAACTGTAACGTAATTCACCTGGTTTGATCTCACCATCAGCGTGAACTTTGCCCCCTGGTTTATCATGCTTGCTACCGGGAAGAACTGAGTGCCTATTTTCTCCCCGGTTCTGGCAAAGTACACCTGAGCAGGTGCCAAATCCTCCCCAAGGACCTGCTGTCATCAGAAAATCTCATTGCTGCCACCCGCACACCCTCTGGGATTACCACTGGCCCGTGCATGACTCATGACACACAGGACAGCCAGTTCGGCTTGGGATCAGCACTTTTTCCCTTCGCGTTGCCTTCCTACTGCCTCACCCAGTTGTTGTCGTTTTCCCTCTGCTCAGAGAGGGTGCGGCAGGAGCAACGAAAGGCAGGACAGCCAGGTCTTGCTGATACTGCAGCACGGCTTTTTTCTCCCTTGCTTATTCCTTTTTTCCCTTTTTCTAAATTTTTAAACCCATAGCTTTATAAAAGTGGCGCCCCTCTGTGAATGCAGCTAAGGGACTTCAGCAAGCAGCTAATGACATGCATCAAAGGTCACCTCCCCACGTAGGCAAGACACAGCGACAGGACAGTGGCCACGGGGGTGACACGGAAACACGCTTTACAGAGGGGGGTCTCCGCTGCACCCCATGCTCTCCCAGCCTTTCTCCAAAGCAGGCAGGATAGATAGAACAAGAGGAATTGAGAATACAAACAACAGCAAGAACCTTTGCAGCCACTACCACTCTTGGGGTGGGGCTGAGAAGGGCAGCTAGAGGCTAGAAGAGGACCGGCATCAACTGCTTAACTGACAGCTCTCTGCAAAGGAGGCCATTCAAGAAATCCCTGCCAGCCCAGGCCAAAGCCAAGGAAGGGAAGGCTGCTCATCTGGCCTGCACCCAGCCCCCTGGCATCGCCCCGACTCTGACCCAGCCACAAGCCTTGCTTTGGCTCAAGGATCATCCACAAATGTGTCTGCCCGTTGGGGGCTTTCCCTCCTGCTGCTCTAGGGAGTCCTTGGAGTCAGCAGGCCATGTGTGAACAGGCAGAGGGCCCAGATGGAACAGCCCGCCCTGCAACCCTCACCAGGAAGCTCACTGGAGTGATGGCTGCTTTGAAGCAGTTAGTTTATTTTTGGTTTTGTTTCTTAAGATTTACTGTGTGTGTGTGTGTGTGTTTTAATTTGAAAGGCAGATTACAGAGAGAAGAGGCATACTGGACAGGTATACACCCAAATGGTCGAGATAGCCAGAACTGAGCTGACCTAAAGCCAGGAGCCAGGAGCTTCCTCCAGGTCCCAAGGATTTGGGCCATCTTCTGCTACTTTTCTAGGCCATAAGTAGGGAGCTGGATTGAAAGTGGAGCAGCTGGGATCAGAACTAGTGTCCATGTGGGATGCTGGTACTGCAAATAACAGGATGAGCCCATCGAGCCACCACCCCCTCCTTTTTTGTCTTACCACTGCAAAACCTGATACAGGAACACTCAGCCCTCTGTTTCTGCAGATTCTTCAAACACAAATTCCACTAAGTGTGAATCAAAGATACTCTTAAAAATGCATCTCAGGGACAGGTTTTGGGGCATATGGGTAAAGCTGCCACTTGCAATGCCAGCTAATTCATTGGGAACCTGTTTTGTGTCCTGGGTGCTCCACTTCCTATCCAGCTACCTGTTACAAGACTGGGAAGGCAGTGTAAGATGACTTAAGTTTATGGGACTCTGCTACCCACGTAGGAGACCTGGCCTGGCCCTGTAAATGGAAGATTTGTTTTTCTTTCTTCCTATGTAGCTCTAACTTCTAAATAGTTAAGTATTAAAAAAAAAAAAAAAAAAAAAGCATCTGTGGCAGGAATTGTGATGCAGTAGGCCAAGCTACTGCCTTTGACATCAATATCTCAATGTAGGAGTGTTGATTCAAGAAGTGTTAGCTGCTCTGCTTTTGGGCTAGAATAATGTCCACTATTTATATAGCATTCCATTGTATTGAGGGTCATATGCAATCCGGAAAAAAGTTAAAGCATAGACTGTAAGTAACCTATTTGCAAATAACGTACCACTTTCTAAAAGGGATGTGAGCACCTGCCAGATTTTGGTATCTAGGGAGAATTCTAGAACCAGTGTCCCAGGGACACTGAAAGGTGACTATGATTGGTGACACTGCAGGACACTGGGTATGTGATGGAACCTGCAGTGTGAACACACAGCCCTCACCCTAACAGACACGCTGTGCCACCTTTCTGAGGCTCAGTGTCCTTGATGTTAAATGAAAATGAAAACATAGCCTTTTAGTATTGGTAGATCAAAGGACACAGTGGTCAGCCATGAAACACTACAAAAACTCCAGCCGTTATTCTGACACCTTCCTACAGCCATCTCTCCTCTGTTGGCATGTAAGACTCACAAATAATGTCTTTATTTTTCCCCCAGTGTTTTTTTAGATACTGAATTGAAAGGGAGAGTGTGTTCGTTTTTTCTGTTTCACTCCCTGAATGCCCACCACAGCCAGGGATGAGCCAGGCAGGAGCTGTCACCAGGTGGGTGACAGGAACCCAAGGACTTGAGCCATCACTACAATCTCCCAGAGTCTGCACTGGTGGGAGCCTGGAATCAGGAGTCAGAGCTGGGAATCTAACCAGGCACTGTGATGTGGGACACAGGTGTCTTAGCCAAGACCTTTAAGTTCTGGGTCAAAGGCACACACTAAGGGCTGTAACTGAGTAACCTCACCCTGCAATGGGATTTTTTCAAAGCCCTGATTGGGTTTCCTGACTAGGAAAATGGACGCTGGTGAAGTCTCTTCTCCCCAGCCTTCGTCTGGGTCCCTCACCTCTCTCTCAGTCTGCCTGTGACACACTGCGATGCTCAGTTTGTACCCCTGGTTTTCCTGGGTTCCCTAAGAATGGAATGATCCTGCCCTGAAGGTCCGTGCTAGGTCTCAGGAAGTATCAGGCACTTCACACAGCCAGACACATTCCACCTTCTCATTACAACAGTCCAAAGAAGGACTTTCTCGGAGCCACAAAGCCAGCAAAAAGAGGCAGGAATTGGCAGGTGATTCAGTTGGGATCCAAACTCAGGAATGTCTGGTCCTTAGCTATGCATGAGACCCAGGCCCCAGCAGTGCCTGGAGTATAAACACTGGGTGCCCTCAGGTCCCACGCTCCCTCCCTCAGCTTCAGGTGACCTTGTCCTGCTTTGAAAGCACTAAAATCAACTTAACTAAGCACAGGGAGTAGGGCACGCTAATCACTGGATTTGCTTCGTCACCAGATAACAGCTTCAGGGTTGGTGTTACTGCGAGGAAACTTCCAGGCCCTGGGTAGAAAGCACCGAGGGCCACTTGACCATCCTGAAGAGGGCAGCACTGCTGAACAGCTAGGACCTTGGACAGGAGTGGCATCCATAACCACTGATCCGAACACCTGCCCCTGTCCACGTCCCTCTTCCCCTTGACTCCTGGTCCTGGCAGCCTCCCTACCAGTTCCAAGTGCCCTGTTCAGGGGGATGGTAGTTCTGGAGACCCAAGTCTGCTACTCCCTTTGACCCATCACTGGATCCAAGCCCCACTGCCCTTTGTTCCCACACCTCCTCTGCATTATCCTGATGAGCTGTCCCCAGATGCCTTCCCAGATTTGCTCCTGAGGGAGGAAGCTGAGTTGATTCTGATGAGACACATGGTTTCCCACTCACACAGCTACTAGAATCTGTCTACTTTAGCACATCCCCTGCTGGCCCAGCTACCATCTGTGTGCCTTGGACACCTGGCCCCACCCTCACAATGTCCCAGGCTCCATGCCTGGCCACCCTTCCACTCTTCTCTACACAGCAGCAAGAGGAATCATACCAAACCATAAACCAGTTCACACTCCTCTCCCCTCAACCTCTACAGGCTCCCTTCACACCCAGTAGAACCCGCAGTCCTCACCATGGCCACACCTCACGTCGTCTGGCCCGAGCTCCTTTCCAATCCACTCAGCCCCCACCACTGCCTTGAGCCTTACCTCCATCCACACCCATGATGAAGCGCCCCACAATGAGCATCTCAAAGGCTCCAGCCTGGAGGGCACAGGCCATCAACAACGCAGCAGCGATGGCAAACCCATTGTTGACCAGCAAAGTGGACTTCCTGGAAGGGAGAGAACAGCTTGATGAGGACTCTCCACCCCCCGAGATACACCCCTGCCCAGTCCATCCCTGGCCCCTCAGCAGAGCCAGCCTCAGACACAGGTACGGTCAGGAGTTGTGTCACCTTGAACCACCTTGTCCCATTGGGCTCATCATTGGAATCAGTCAGCTCACTTCCCAGGGGAGCACAGCCCTGGTGTCTACGAATTCTCTACTGTAGCATTTGTTTCATAAATTCGAAGACACAGTTATTCCTCCAGTCAAGGAGCAATTTTATCCATGAGTTGGGTGTATGTAGGGATACTAGAAACCAGTTTAATTACTTTAGTAGAAAGGATTTCACAGAGGGACTTGGCTAGTCAGGCATCAAAGGACAGAGATGTAAAAAAAAAAAAAGTGGGGGAAAGGGGGAGGCCTTCAATGGCAGGGTGCTGATACCTCTGGGGCTAGGTTGTTTCACAAATTTCAAGAAGTGGGGGATCCGACTGGGGACTTCTGTATTACTTTTAGGTTCAAGTTCTTGACTTCCAAGCCAGAGTCCTCACAACCAATTCTTACTTGTCTAAAATGTGGAGCATCCAGGGCCAGTGGCTTTGCTTAATGACTTGCTACAATGATTCATCACTTCCACCTTCTCTGTGACAGCCAATGAACGAAAGAGCCCATGAGTCCACTCATGAGTTCACCCAAAGCCTGGAGGAATGATGATACATTCACATAGTGGAACAGGATGGTGAGGGAGTTATCTACATTCTGATAGGGGAAATCTCCAAGATAAAAGTATAAAGGGTAAGGTTCAGGAACATTAACAATCTGAAAAAGAAACATGTGAGAGAGATGTGCATCAAATGCGATAAAATGTGTGTTTTTGTGGCAGAGAGATGTGCATATGTGTAAGTGTGACAGAGGGGTGTGTGCGTGAGAGACAAGTATGTGTGAGATGTGTGAGGGTGTGAGAGCGTGAGAGGTGTGTCTGTGTGTGTGAGAGGCCTTAGCCATGGTGGGAACACACCCCGAGACCCTCAGCAGATCTCCGGATCTACACACAGTACCAAAGCCTCCGATGTTTTACTATGTTTACATGTTGTAGGGCCGACTGGGGAAGTGTGGTCGGTTGTGGTGGAGGAGCACAACAGAATTCCCAGGGTGGTTTCCATGCCCCTCCCAGACACAGCTGCAGAGCTTTACTGAAGATATTCCTCATTTCCAGAATCGACCAACTGCAAAGTTCACTACAGCCTGTAAATAACTCTCCAAAGCCTCCACCTTACTCGCCACTCTGGTGCCTGTATCAATCCCGAGCAGCCTTTGAAGGGCGTGGCTCCCCTGGCCCGCTTCTCCGTGGACCGGTGGGCCTCACCCAGGAGCATGGCTAATAAAGACTCTTTGCTTATTAGCTACTTCTCTCCCTCCTTTTCGTGTGTCAACACTACTCAATACTCCTACCATACACATGTCTACGACAGCCTCATTGCTAAACTAGCCACCGTGAGAGGTTAGCCACAGTAAGTGCTAATACCCAGAGCCATTACAGCTTTGCACTGTGAGAAAACTGCCAGCATCCTCCTTGTGCTTTGGGGATGTTGTTAAGTAGAACAGGGTGGCTTGAACACAAGCAGTGTGATATGGTGAGAGTCAACCTGATGACCCAGATGGCTGTTAAGTGGCTAGCGGGAAGGTAGTGTACACTGCACAGATAAACAGGACACAGTGAGGAGTCACGTCGCAGGTGGAAGGAACAGGACAGTCTGAGACTCCACCACGCCACTCAGAAATGTGTACAAGTTGAAAACATGAGCTGTTGCTGGGGGTTTTGTTGACTGTTTTCAGACTACTGCTGACCATGGGTAACTGAAACTGGGCAAGTAGGGCTAACTATATGGATGCCTACATGGATGTGGGCAAGTGGGGCTGACTGAATGGATGCCTACATGGATGTGGGCAAGTGGGACTAACTACATGGATGTGGGCAAGTGGGGCTGACTGAATGGATGCCTACATGGATGTGGGCAAGTGGGGCTGACTGAATGGATGCCTGCCTATCATCTCCACTCTGTTCCCAGCCACTATGAAGGGGGCTGCCTTCTCCAGGTCCTCTAGGGTCCTGGACCCATCAGTGACAGCAGGGCCTTGCCCGCACCTGCCTTTCTCGCCCGCATGGCAGCAGGAGTCTGCGCTGGGAGCAGCCCGCCCTCCTTCACTTGGCCCTGGCTTTCAGATCTCAGCAGGGCCTCTCCCTTCAACCTTTCACCCCTAGGCGGGGTGGGGAAATCCTCCGGACTACTAAAATGAAAAAAGCTGGCCGCAGGCATTAAGCCAATAATCAGGACACCAGCATCCCACATCACCCTGCCTGGTAGCCCATGGGTAGCCCATGGTCCAGCGTCCCACCTTTTGCTGGTGTTTGGGAAGAGAACCTGCAGATGGGAGCAGTCTGTCCACCTATCTCTGTCTCTCTGCCTTTCAAATAAACAGAAAGCATAAACATAAACAGAACAGATAGCTGCATTGCTCACAAACAGTCAAACATCATCCCTGGGACCTGCACCTGCAGGTGCCAGCCCAACCTCTTCGTGCCTCACAGAACAGATCCCTGCTGTCCCTTGTGCTAAGAAAAGTTTGAGAAGGGCTGGTCCCATGGAGCTGGGATCTGAAGATTTGTGGCTGATAGGCAAAGTGACCTATCCTTCCCTCTGTGGATAGAAGAGATAAAAGCTACAGCAGAAATCAGAGCTCTGTCCACGCACCGCCCTGCACTCCTGCAGTGGCCATATGGTCCTAGAGGACATCAGTGATTGGCAGTGGCACGACAGTCACAGCATTGCCCAGGAGACCTCCCTCTTTAGCTCGACTCCAACCGAGACCTGGTATGGATCCAGAGAGTCCTGGCTTCCCCTCACACCTCATCACTGGTACCCATGACATCTCTCATTCACAGAGGACACAGTAATGGCTGTGACCGGATGAGGAATCCTTGAGTCCACCTGCCCACCTGCCCCCAGAGGAGATACAGGTGTTTCTGCTCTAATCTAAGAGCAGTCAGTCACCTTATGTACTGGATTGCACCTCTCCTTCCTGGGTAGGCTCAACTCTTTAAAGAACTGATTCTCTACTCAATATCCCTGTATTAATACACTTTGCGTGGGCCTCATTCCCCACAGCTCAAGCCCTCTTTCGTATCTGCTCACACTCACTCTTCCTTGAGCTAGCTTGTTCCTATCACCCCAAGGAGATCGCTCTTGTGACTGTCCCCAATAACATCTGCCTGACAACTCCAGCTACCAACCCTGCCTTCTTGTCCCCACTTGATCAGCCATTACGCCCACCTCCATTGGTTGAAACACGGTCTGCTTGGGGCATCTGGGGCTGCAGTCCTCCCGTGCTCTCCCCCAGCCTCTGTGCCCTGCTCTCTGGGGGTCTGCCCTGTCCTCTATGGCTTTGCCTGGGGGTGTCGCAGAGCTCCAGTTCCTGCCTCTTTCATCCCCATCTCCCTACACCCCGTCCCCGGGTTGAACAGGCAGTGCCATGAGAACCATCCTGTGGTCCAGCCTCTCCAGCCAAGCCAACTGGCACATTAACTGCCTCCTAGTCATTTCCACTGGATGTCTAGTGAGTATTTTAAGCCATGTCCAAACAGCACTCTGGAGACCCACCCCAAGCCACTGTACATGCATTCTATTTTTTTTTCCCATGCTTTTCCCCATCTGAGTAAAAAATAACAGCAACAAAAAACCTACCAAGCTTCCTGAATGGCTTATATTTTAAAAATTCCAGGAAAATGGGAACGCAGTAGCAGGCTGTTTCCTGCCTGCATGGCCAGAATCCCACATGGTCTAAACTTCATGTCCCAACTGCTCCTCTTCCAATCCAACTCCCTGATCACGGCCTGGGAGGGCAGCAGAGGCGAGGCCAAGTCCTTGGGTCCCTGAACCCGTATGGGAGATGTAGAGAAAGCTCTTGGCTTCCTATCAGCTCAGCTCTGGCTATTGTGGCCATTTGGGGAGTGAATCTGCAGATGGAAGATCCCTCTCTCCTTTCTGTAACCTTGCCTCTAAAACAACCAACCAACCAACCAAACAACCAAACACTAGTCTTGACTTCAAAAAAAGGCTTTCTCTTAAAAAAATGGGGGAATATCAAGATTTCAGCTTTTTTCCAGTCCGCATCTGATTCATCACCAGGTTTCATCTGCACTACGGCCACCACTCAAGGGGCATTGTGGACCTGGCCACCATCAGCTCACGCCCATGCATTAACTCACCCACGGCAGCCCTGGCCACCATCAGCTCACGCCCATGCATTAACTCACCCACGGCAGCCCTGGCCACCATCAGCTCATGCCCATGCATTAACTCTCCCACGGCAGCCCTGGCCACCATCAGCTCATGCCCATGCATTAACTCTCCCACGGCAGCCCTGGCCACCATCAGCTCACGCCCATGCATTAACTCTCCCACGGCAGCCCTGGCCACCATCAGCTCACGCCCATGCATTAACTCACCCACGGCAGCCCTGGCCACCATCAGCTCATGCCCATGCATTAACTCTCCCACGGCAGCCCTGGCCACCATCAGCTCATGCCCATGCATTAACTCTCCCACGGCAGCCCTGGCCACCATCAGCTCACGCCCATGCATTAACTCTCCCACGGCAGCCCTGGCCACCATCAGCTCACGCCCATGCATTAACTCTCCCACGGCAGCCCTGGCCACCATCAGCTCACGCCCATGCATTAACTCACCCACAGCAGCCCTGGCCACCATCAGCTCATGCCCATGCATTAACTCTCCCACGGCAGCCCTGGCCACCATCAGCTCACGCCCATGCATTAACTCTCCCACGGCAGCCCTGGCCACCATCAGCTCACGCCCATGCATTAACTCACCCACGGCAGCCCTGGGTGGTGTCCCTCCACTCCCGCCTGCTGCAGCTCACTGTCCCACAGCTGAGGGCGGCTTCCAAAGCGCACCCTGGCCTGCCGTTCCTCGTTCATAACTTCCAGCAGCCTCCACTGCACAGAACAAGGGTCTCACCAGGGATGGTAAAACCCTGTGCGCATGGCCTTGGCCCCTTGACTAGGGCGCTGATCCCTGCAGCGATTCTCTTCACTCGTGTGCCTGGTCTCTGCTGGCCTCTCTTTTTTCTGACCATGTCAGCTTACATGTTACTCCCCGACACCCTGAGACGGCTGCTCCCCACTGCCCAGGCCACTCCCCTAGGTCTGTCTCTGGGATCCCTTTTCTGTAAGACTCTGAACCCACACAGAATGACATATTTATGAGTCTCCATGCTCACTGTTCACCTAGAATGGACAGGCCCCTGGCCTGTCACCAGTGTCTAGCATATGCAGAGGCCTCGTATTTGCTGCATAAGCAGAGGAACCAAATCCAGGAGACCCAGGGTAACATGCTTCCTCCACGTGGCCAGCTCAGGTCTGCTCTGAGGTCCAGCTCAATGCTCAGGTGGATGAGCAGGACAAACATCCAAGGCCCCTCCAACAACGTTGCTGCTTATACACTCCCAGCCACATCCTAACTCAGGGACTTTCAGAAAGGGTTTTTGTTTTGTTTTTAAGTCACCTATTGATCTGAAAGGCAGAGTGACAGACAGTGGGAGAAACGCAGAGAGAAAGATTTCTCAGCTGCTTGTTAATTACCCCAAAATGATTACAATGGCCAGGCTGAGCCAGAGCTAGGAACTCCATTCAGTCTCCCAGGTGGACACAGGGGCCCAAGCACCTGAGCCCTCTGAGCTTTCCCAGGTACCTTAAGGGGAAGCTGGATCAGAGGCAGAGTAGTACAGACTCCATCAGTACGCATGTGGCATGCTGGCATCGCAGGCAGAAGCTTAACTTCTTGTGCCATAACACTAGCTTCTAGGAACAATTTTATTCTTTCTTAGCCCCTCTCAGGTTTCTGTGTATACCTTGGATATAATCCTGCCCATCTTGTAAGACTCCTGTGAGAAATAAATGATTGACAGAACGCTGAGGAGCCTCAAGAAATGCTTAAACGATAAAGCCAACAGCGGGAGCTCCTGGGCACCAAGTGCCTATTGAGACTGGGCCCTGCTCTAAGTACCTGATACTCATTGTAACTCTGGAGCCAAGTACTCTGGTTACCCCATCTCACAAATGAGAAGACAGATCAGGAAGGGAGCAGTCTTGCTCGATGGAAGCTGCCTGCAATGAGACTGACAGCCACTCATGCTTTCAACAACCAGACATCCATTCAGCACACATTTGTGTTGGACTGTGTGCTAATCACAGTTCTAGAATACAGCAACGAATGCAATCGGCTTGTCTTCTACAAGTGAGAAATGCATCGTGTGTCAGATGCTGACAGAGGTTCTGGGACAACCAGGTAAGCAGGGAGAATTTCACAGAGTGGGCAGCAAAGGGCCTTCTGGAGCAGGGACTGAGCACCCACAGGAAGGGCAGCAATGAGTCGCACAGCTGCCTGGGTGGAAGCCCTCCAGGCAGGCAGGGGCAAGGAGCCAGGCCTGGTGTATTCCAGAAACGTTTGTGAGGCCAGGATGGCCGCAGGCAATGGAGCATCAGAGAGCGGTGAGCAGGTGGCGGAGAGGAGGGTCAAGGAGCTACGAAGATAATGAGGTTCCCACCTTGGGTGTCACGGGTGCTCCATCCAGCAGCTGGGCAAGAGGACCCTGGCCAGAGGATTAGTGACCACAGATCCCAGCCCATCAGGGCACTGCCAGCCACACCTGACGTCAGACAGCAGCACAGTTTACAGTACTGTTGCCAGCAGGACCCTAACAAGACCTGCTTGGCACAGAACAGAGGCCACGAAGTGCTGCCTGCACCATGTGATCTAAGTTCACGTAGATGCCAGCAACTCTCTGATCTCCCAGTACCCATCTGCACATCCCTCACAGTGCAGAGTAATTAAACAGGAGTGTGCCTGAGTGCCAGGTACACTGGGCAACCTCCAAAGTGGCACCTCCTACTACCTCATGCCCAGTACCAAGTCCTGACTTGGCCTTGGGAACGAGCAAAATGCTGGTACCTCCACTTCTTCCTGGGCTGTGCAGACCTTGGTGGGCAAGGAGAGGATGAACAGGACGGTGATAGCATCTGCTGTTCTGTGAGCTACTATTGCTAATGGCATCCACTTCCTCCAGTCCCCGTAACAACCTCTGAGAAGGGGAACCATCACCCTACTTTTCAGATAAGGAAACTGAGGTTCAAAATCAGCTAAATGACTCGGCCAAGGCCACAGAGCTAGCAAGTAGAAGATCCGCACCAAGCTTAGACACGATCGCGCCAGAGGCTCCTTCTTTTTCCGGGAGCCACCCAAGAACAAGCTGCCATTGGGAGCAAGGAGGACACAGAGAGAGTCTGTGTGGGGAAACCTGTCAGTAGATTGGTCTTCTCGTCAAAAATAAGGAAGGTGAAGGCTCAAAGCCAAACTGCATGGAAGAAGGCCTAGGTGGGAGTTTTGATATTCATTGCAGCCTTGTTTATAAACAGCTTGAGCCTCTATCAGCCAGGGAGTGGGCCACCTGGTGATTCAGAGACACTGTGTAAGCAACTGATTTTCCTGGGGAGTAACCTGCGAACATTCAGGCAGAGCAGCCCCCAAGTCACCAGGCTGAGTTCACCATTCATCCTGGTTCTTAGACCCAGGATGCTGCGCTGCTTCATGGCTGGGGAGCTGCATGCCACCAAACTAGCTCCCTGGCTTTCTGGTTTCTGCTAGGGTGTGACCAGCGAGAAACACTTAAGCAGACTAGGGGGTAGGGAAAAGGAGAGAAAGACCAGGGTCTCTGTCACCAGCCCCTGCCCCATCGGGGTGCAGGTCTCCAGGCACAGACTAGCCCTTCAACAGCTTCAGTCCTGTTCCGTACCAGCCAGGCTTCCTCCCCTGTGCCCACGGCCGCCCCAATCTCTCCCACTGTACTGCCTACTGCTGTGACCCTGAACCTGACCACAACCTATCAGCAACATCATGTGATGGCCACTTACTGACCTCCCCAGGAGCTTCCCAAGCAGCTTCACCATTAACGTCCCCACGAGTCCTCCGATGGCGAATATGGACACAGTCACAGACCAGAGCAGAGTCAGAGTGTCCGGGCCTATTGGTTGTCTGTGTCTTCTTTGCCAAGAGTCATTGTAAAAGGCCTTGATGTACTGAAAGCAAACAACAGGGCCACGTTAGCTCCTCTGTTCCATTCTGCTGCCTGAAATGAAGCAATAGGCACAGTACCTTCTCTGGGTTCAGTACCTGGCTAAGTTGGCTTTGAGGTGCTTAGCACTAGATTCTTCTAACAAGCTTGGGGGACAGTCCCTCCTGCCCTTTTGCACCTCATTTCCCATATAAGGAAGCTGAGGCTCAGACAAAGTGACTTGCTCCACAAGTGGAAAATTTGGGAGTCCAACTCAGATCTGACTCCCGGCCTAGGATAAACTTTGTATCCAGACTCCAACTCAAATCCACATCAGCATCACCCTGGAAGTGCATTAAAAACCGTGCACACCTCCTAGAAGACTTGGCTTGGGTAGGCAAAGAGACAAGACAGGAAAAAGACTAAGAATCAACAAAGCAATTTCTCGTTAGGACTCGTCTCACTTAACCCTGGGCCATCCCAATAGAGACCTCAGGGGTTGAGAATCACAGCCCAGAGCACGGTGGAGCCCGTGGAACCCACAAAACTGCCAGACTCTCATGGCCTCTGTGTCCTCCCCTCCCTGCCCATGTCACAGGCCACATTACTCAGAACCTTGTGTGGAGGTGTGGCCCCGTGATGGATTCTCACCCAAGGGGCAATGGCCACCTCCACTGGGGTACGAAGAGTGAGCATGCCTTCTCACACTTGCTCCCTGACCCCATGACCTGGCACATGCCCCAGCAGGGCGCTCTGAAGCCTTGGGGAATGGAGGTCAGTCTACTGAAGCAGCCTGGGGCCCTGAATGACACGGGGGAGCAGAGTACCCCGGCTCATCTGTTGTGGAGGTGATGTGAGTGAAAAGTGAATGTCACTACGTCAGGTCACCAAGCCTGAGCTGGCTTGTTGTAGCAGCCAGTTCACCCTACCATGGTGAACTTGACTCTAAAGCCCATGCCTTGGCAACTGTCCTATGACATGAAGCTTCAAGGAGATGGAGAGACTGATGCTGAGTCACGAAGACAGGCCAGGCCTAGAGAGAGGACCTGCGCCCAGCACTGTGTTGAGGGAAACTCCCAGCTGGGAGAAACATTCTTCAGTGAGAGTTTAAGGCCAGCAGGATCGCCACTTCCCAGGCCAGCTTTGACCAGCTGTGGATTCCACTGGTACGTTTCCGTGGAGTCTGCATCCAAGATGCCCATTCCCGTGTCCTCTCAGGGTCTGCTCCTCAGCATAGGGGGTCCAGCATTCCAGCCTGTCTTTGAGGCACAAGTCGCGCTGCTCCGGCCTGCCAGCAGGCTGTAGTCCAGTGGGGCCCACGCTGAGTGAACATACAGCACAGCCAAGGCGAGACACCCAGCCTTACTCAGGACCCCGAGAGCACCTGCACAAACCCGGCCTGCACAAGCGACAGCACTGCTCCGTGGCCCGCGTTCGTCCTTAGAGAAGGACTGTGAGGTCTGTATGGGACAGCAAACGTACAGCACAGCACTGGACCCCTAAGAAAGTTCCAGCTGCTCCACTTCCATCCAGCTCCCTGCTTCTGGTCTGGGAAAGCAGGAGAGGATGGCTCAACTCCTTGCGACTCTGCACCCACGTGAGAGACCTAGAAGAAGCTCCTGGCTCCTGGCTTCAGATCAGTTCAGCTCTGGCCATTACAGCTATGTGGGGAGTGAGTCAGCAGATACAAGGTGGACCCCACAGGTATCGCCTCTTGTTCTCAAGGCTGCTCCCTCCTGAGCACCCAGCAGCCTCAGGCCTGGCGGCTCCTTTAAGGTCTCAGGCCTTTCCCTCCTGAATCCTACCTCTTCTCACTCCCCCCAACAGCAGTGTTGCACGCCCCCATTAACAGTTCCCAGCATGACACTGCTCTGGCACAGCCAGGCCTTTCACACTCCGGGACCTATTCCACCCCTGACTCTATCTTCCACCCCCGCCCCCGCCCAATCCTTCAGGGCTCATGCTGCCTTCCCTGAGTCCCAGCATCAGACACACACAAGCCGCTCAGCTCACTCATGCCATGTCGATGAATGAACTTGCAGCCCCTTCTAGCACCCACCTCATTCCCTTCCAGGCTCAAGTTCCCCCTGCCCCACAGCGACGGGTGCAAAGGACGTCCTAAGCTTAGCTGCACACTTTGCAGAGCTCAGAGCACGGTACAGGGCCCACCTTCCTGCCTTCCTCCTAAGGTGAGGATGGACCTTGGCATGACATCAAAGGCTGCCAGCCAGCATGGTGCAGTGAGCTTCCCGCAATGTGGGCAGCCCATATCAGAATGCAACTCAAGTCCCAGCTGTGCCACTTCTGGTCCAGCTCTCTGCTAACACACCTGAGAAGGCAGCAGAGGATGGCACATGTGCCTAGGCCCCTGCATCCACATGGGGGACCCAGATGAAGCTGTGCGCTCCTGGCTTCAACCTGGGGCAGCTCTAGGCACTGCAGACATTTAAGGAGTGAACCAGTGGATGGAAGATCTCTCTCTCTTTCTCACTCTGCCCTTCACTAACTAAATATTAACGATAATATCATAGACCACCGATTACTACGAGCGCCACTGTTTTTAGCCTCAGAATCAAACTTTCAAACCAACTTGAACGGAACCCCCAAATACTAAACTAACAGAATTAAAAAGTAAAACAAGCAAGCAAGCCACAAACAGGGCCGTCCTGGCACAAGTGGAGGCTGAGTCTGTGGTGGGCACAGAAACTCCTTGGAATGCTGGGGAGGCCAGAGCACATTCATGGCCGTACCTCCGCCTGACACAGGCACTCCGGAGCACAGCTGCCCTGTGCTACCGGCATTTTCCAAAGTCCTCCCCGTAACCCTCCAGCTCCTCCAGGAAACCTCACCTGCCTAGTTAGGGGACCCTGTGGCGCTTGCACACCAGCAGTACAGCCCGTGAAAACAGCAGAGGACAACTGCACCTGGATCTGACTTCAGGCCAAACCAGATCCAAGGACACGGACGGGGTCGTGGCTAGCAAATCCTCAGCAGGCTCCAGGCGCAGGACTAGTCGGAGGGACACACCCATCTCCTTGTCTAAGACTCAAGGCAAGCCTCCTATCTGTAGGAAGCTCTGAGGGGGCCGCCCTCCAGTTCCGCCCGTTTCTCTCAGGGCTCCCGCACCGCAGCCACCAGGCAGCGAACCCCCACATGTCATGCTGGTCTGGTCCTGGTGCTCCCTTTAGACTACCCTCAGTCCTGCCTAATCCCACTGCTCTCCTGCAAAGCTCCAGGGACAGGGGACTCATGGCCATTGCGTGTGACCGCGGCGCCCTCTGCCGGGCGAATCCTGCGGGTAGGTGGGCACTTACCAGGGTTGGGGCGTTGACCACCGAGAGGTTGTAGCCATAGAGGAACGAGGAGCCGAAGGCACCCACAAGAGAGGCCCCCACGAGAGAGCAGGTCCAGCCCTGGGGAAGGAAGAAGACGGCACGTTGGCGCAGAGCCTTGCACCAAAGAGGGCCACACAAGCAGGGCTGTGTGCATGCGCTGCCCCCCTCCCCCCCGCCCCTTCCCCGCAGGCTGCGTGGGAGATCCACACACCTTTCCGACAGCACCCACACGGCCGCCCCCAGCAACATCCAAGGCCTCAGCCAACCTAAGCGGCTGGGCCCAGCGTTAAAGTCCCAGGTTACAGGTAGGCAAGCCAAGGCACAGTGACAGGTTCATACCCCCCAACCGAGGGGCCGGAACCCTGCTAGAGGAGGGAGACAAGCTGGGAGGGGCGGGAATGGCTTCCCCTCTCAAGTTGTAATTGACCAATTTCAGGTCCCTAGACTGGCCTCTGTCTGGTTCCCTTCTGTACTGTCAGAGCTTTGTCAGGGCCTGGCACTATGTATACAAGCACGCCCGCCCAACTGCACACACACACACACACACACACACACACACACCACCCCACCCCCCCCAGGGGAAGAACTCTAGTCTCCTCTGTCCAGTCCTGGCCAACCCATGACTTGAGCCTGGTTACCCTTGTTCAAGGCACCCAGCAGCTTGTGTTCCAGGGTCCTGTCCTGGACACACAAGGGCAGGCGCCTTGTTCTCCGCGCCACGACCGCACATCACCATAGTCCCAGGGTACTCAGACCAGCCTGTACACTGATGCTTCAGCCAGGATGGCTGTGTGTATGCCCATGCATGTGTGCAAGTGCACATGTATGCACAGCCTGTGTGTGCCCCTGTGTTTGTGGGCAGGCTCAGGTCGGCAGTGCAGAGGCAGGATGGTGCCGTGTGACCATCTGGGCTCTGGTCTCCAGCCCAGACAGCAACAAGGGCTGCTTCCTTCCCTTGAAAGGCAGAATGCCAAGATAATAGTGCCTGGCAGAGCTTCACAAAGGCCAGCTGCCTTTTTTGCTCCTGTCTGAGTCAGGTTCTGGCCAAATTCAGCTACAACAGCAGTGCAGTGGCTTCAGGACACCTGCAGCTATGCCCCAGGAAGGGGTGAGGAGGGCATACCAAGTCAGTGAGAGACTGGCTAGCCCAACAACCAGGGGCTCAGGGGGCTGGAGTGCCACACTAAGACCTCACATGTATGTGACCCAAGCCCAGGCCTCCCTGTCACAGCAGCTGGCTGGCTGGGCTGCCTGCTGCCCGTCATGGCCACCCCGCTGTCCTGCTGCACTCAGGCCAGTACATTCCTTTTAACCTATATTCTCTTCTACCTGGCATGGGGCTCCTCCTGGGGTGGTGACTGGTGGGCAGCTCCCTCCCTGATCCTAGAGGCCCCGGGTGATGCCAGTGGGGCCCCCGGGAGCAAAGCTCAACTCCATGCCCTGTCCCTTAGATGGGACTGGAGTCTGGGCCGGACTTGTGCAGGGCATCTCCTGGGGATGAGGAGGCCAAGTCCACAGGCAGGAGGGAGGTGCTCAGTGGGAAACGGAGCAAGGGGCTGGCCTCCATGACAAGTGGGCCAGCTTATTTTCCCTTTCTGCTCACATCATTCCAGCTACCAGAGCACCCCCAGATGCCTCTTTGGGATCCCCATCAAGGCGCTGATTCTGTTTGGCATCTAACTTTTTAGGTTCCTCCCCTGCTGAAGCCTATGTCCCCGGGGGTGAGGGGCACCTGGCACCTGCCCAAGCTCCTCCCAAACGACCAGGGCCAAGCACACAGGTCCTGGTGCTGCCTCCTGCTTTGCCGCTGTGTGTCCCTGGCCAAGAAACCGAGTTTCGTTGAGCTGCCTGAATGGGCCCATGCCCATGGGCCCATGCCAGAAAGCATGCATCCCCAGCAGCCTGCTGGCTGACTCACGTGGGTCACCCATGGGCCCCAGAGTGTGTGCCAAGGCCATGGGTTTGCAAGGAGGCATTTGTCCTGTCCCCTCCGTGCTGGCCAAGGGAACACCTCCTGAGAGTCTGCCCGGGTGGTCAGAGAGTTCAAAGAAGACAAGGACATCACTCCCACCAGGACACGCAGGATGTCCTGGGAATCCATTGCCTCGCGGCTGGGACAGGTTGCCTTGGTTGTTGGCTCTAGAGGCAGACAGCAGGCTGGAGCAGGGATGGGGCTTGTTTGGTCGCTTAGAGCCCGCAGAATGTCTAGAAGCCAGGGCAGGGCTCAGGTCCAAAACAGGAGCCTGAGGACCTACGAGCTGGGCTTGGTGACAGCACAAGCTAAAGACAAGGTATGGGTTGTGCTGGCAAGCTGGGAGCACGAATGCCAAAGGTGCATGTGAGCACTCAGCCTTGTGCTGTGCAGTGCTAGGGAAGTGGCTGCTCGTGGTCAATGTGGAGCCAAGGTTTCCAGAAAGGAAAGTCAGCGCTTCCCTACCCTCCGCAGCTCCACCAGGGGTGGCTGGCACTCCCAAGTCATCCTGCTAGCATTAGTTGGTTGGAAATACCTCTAGGAGAACCAGTTATGTCTAGTTCTGGTGTTCAGCTGTTTTCTCTGCCTCCTTTATTGAGTTGTGGGCTCAGGGCAGGATTGGAAGCTGGAAGCACTGAGTGACAACAAGCCAGGCCAGAGTGGGGCAAGACCCTGGGAGGCACTGCACGATCTCGGAAGGATTCTGGAATCATCTGGGGGAAGAAGGCTTCATACAGTACAGTGAGCCTGACGTGGATGCAGGCAGGGCAGGGTGTGGAGGGGAGGGTGTGGTGCCGAGGTCAGCAGGCAAGGGTGCTGGAGGATGCTGGGAAGTAAAGTGGGTGAGGGTGTCCAGGGCTCAGGAGGGGGGTCAGGGAGGATGGTACAGCCTCATCCTTGGTCATGGAGGATAATCAGAATCACAGGTCATCTTGTGGGAACACGTCACCTGTTACTTCTTCCTCGGGCCCCTGCCCTGGCTTCCTTCTGCACACCCTCCCCAGCACACCTCACCAGCTCTGGCTGAAGCTCAGAGCAGATCAGATGTCCCCTCCACCATCTATGATCAAGCCATGGTTCCCAGTGGGACTGGAAATCCAGAAGGCATTGGGGCGTCAGGAGGCCAACTTGACATGCAGCCACAGGTGGACGTCAAGTCAGACAGAGGGTGATGTCCCCTCCCCCAGCCCTATCCCGAATCGCAGTCTACGCCATTTTCCCATGCGCATTCACAGTTTTGGGACCACCCAGGTTCTGATTACGTGGGAAGAACGGAGGTTCAGGGAGAGCATGGAGCAGCCCGCCTCCACATCCAACATTCCTCCTGTCTCCTGCAACCTGAGGCCCTGTGCTTTGGGCAAATCCCAGGAAGGCTAACCCGTGTCCTGGGCGTGGCCATGAAGCCAAGGTTCCTGGGGGTTCCGGGGGTCCTGGGGGTCCTGGGGCTGGGCGGGTGTCTGGCCTGCTCTGGCATGTTCTCATGCCTCACTTATATCCATCAGCAAGTATTTATTGAGCTCTTGTTCGTTCAAGTTCTCCTGGCCCTCGCTCAGGCCCTTCCTGCGGACGACTCTGAACTTGCCCTTCCTTGCATTTCCTTCAAGAAGCCTCCCTGACTTCTCATGGCTCTGGGGTCACACACGCCTGACCCTGTGGACAGGAGCTCAGTGAAGGCAGGAACCGTGTGTGTCTTACAGTCTGAACCGCACTCCCGAGGGTCCTGGGTGGGGCCTGGGTGGGGCCTTCACCTCCAAGTCCCTGCATTTGGAGATAGTGCCTTTCCCTCATTACGGCAGGATGAGGGCGCACGGATGGTCCCGGCAGTCTGACTGGAGTCGTAAGAAGAGATGAATACACAGACGTGTACACAGCCCACACCTCAGAAGAAACCAGCCTGCTGGAACAGTCAGAAAGGTGTTTCTGTTGTTCCATGCGTGCTAGTGTATCATGGTGGGCATAGAAAGCTCGCGGGGTCCTGCGCCTCTGCCCTAAGGCCTCCCTCCCGCCGGGCTAGGGAAGCCCAGCAGACGCTTCTGGAATGGAACTCAGGATGATTTCCACACGCTTGAACGTTGGCTTGAACAAGGTGAAGATTCTCCAGCAGGGAAGGGTTGGGGAAAGGGCATGGTTTCTACTGAATATCATTTCAGCAATGTGTAAAATGACTACTCCTTCTGTCACAGACAGTGAATGCTTGCTCCACACAATGTGGGTAAAAAGGGAAGAAACAGTGCCCACCTAGAAATTCTGATTCACATGGTGCTTCCATTTCGCTGAGTGACCTAAGGAAGGTGGCTTCACCTCTCTGAACCTCCAGTGCACGCCTGTTTGGGGACAAGGATGGTCATGTTGCCAGTTGGTGACCAGGCCTGTGAGCTTTGTCCTGCCACATGTGGGCTGACTGGCCATCTTTACTTCTGAGTCACGGTAGCCATCACAGGAGAAGAGACACAGGAGGGCCCCCTCGCCTAGCTGCACAGCCTTGGAGAGGTGGTTCCATCTCTCCCTGAGCCTCAGCCCCGGCTCTGTGAAGTGGGGGAAGTGACTTGGTGTGACCAGGAGAGCCACACAGGAGACCCAGGGATCGCTTTAGCACACAGAGGGGATCCTCTGGCTGCTGGATCTTGGATTGGTTTTAAACACAGAGCCTGAGGAGATCTCTCTAGTGGCTGAAGACTTCCTGGGGGAAGGGCCAGTGGGTTGGGCCTTGGGATGGGATGGGGAATGGGTTCCTACGATCACTAACGTACCCCAGTCCAGAAAGCCTGCAGTGGGCAGGTAACACGACACTGTCAGTCTCCCAAGCATTGCTCTGTCACACTGCAGTTCACACACTCCTTCCCCCTACTCCGCACTCCCCAGAGGAAGGACAGCCTGGCCACCAGAGCATCCACAGAGTGACAGAGAGACAAACCAGGACTGACCGTGTTCTTTTGCGCTGCACGGCTCTCTTTGTTTTCAGCGGGGTCCTTTTCGCTGAACTTCATGATTTATTTTTCAGAGTTGGGGATTTTGTTGCAGCTGCTGCTCCTGAGGGAAAGGAGGACATCCTTAGACACCTGCTGTCGTGGGTGAGGAGTTAGAGGAGGGGCCTTGGCTGCGCTTTGATAGCTGTGCCATGAAGGACACCAGACAAGGACCCCAGGAGGACACAGAGCACCAGTCTCCCTTGGACTCCAGGGTCCCTGGAGACCTGGGCATTCCCCTTCCCCTCTCGGGCCTCAATTTCCCCATTTGTGAGAAGTGGTTTTCACGGGTCACTCTCCAGAACACTCTCATTTAGAAAGTGGTTCTTACAATGGAGTGCATTTTGGAAGCACTAGGCCATCTGTCTCCACAATGAGAAGATATGAGTGTAAATTAAAGTGGAAGCTCACTGGCCAACCTAGAACTAATTACTAAAACTCTTAGCAGAGTTGTTGGTGTGATGGAAGTGGAAAATTGCACAGCTTTTTCCAGAGTTTGGGAATATGCTTCTAGAACCATAACAAAAGCTGGGCCTAGTGTGGTAGCCTAGCAGCTAAAGTCCTCACCTCGCATGCACCGGGATCCCATATGCGCACCAGTTCTAATCCCGGCTGCCCCACTTCCCATCCAGCTCCCTGCTTGTGGCCTGGGAAAGCAGTCCAGGATGGCCCAAAGCCCTGGGACCCTGCACCTGCATGGGAGACCCGGAAGAAGCTCCTGGCTTCTGACTGGCTCAGCTCCGGCCGTTGTGGCCGCTTGGGGAGTGATCAATGAACTCAAGATCTTCCTCTCGGTCTCTTTTCCTCTCTGTATATCTGACTTTCAAATAAAAATGGTAAAAATAAATCTTAAAAAAGAACCATAACAAAAGCTAAAGTCTTTGACCCATCTACTCTATACAAATGCAGCCTAAAGCAGGAATAAAAGCGGTCTAGTCTGTGCTGCCCAGTTGCTTGGCCAAACATCTGGAGGATGGTCCAGGGGGTCCTTGGGGAGGTGTCTGGGGGGTCTGATGAGCACTGGTCATGCCCTGACTTTAAGCAGAGCAGGTGACTGTGTTGGGAGTTCGCCTCACCCAAAGACCTTAAAGGGACAGACGTTCCCCAAAGAGGAAGACAACTGGCCTCCAGCAATTCTGCTGAGTTTCCAGCTGGCGGACTAAGGCTGCAGTGTCAAACTTGCTGGCATTTCTAGTCTGGTGGCTTGCCTGTGACTTTGAGTTGCCAGCTCCCATGAGCACATAGTCAATTCCTTATCATAAATATAGGTAGACTGAGGATAGATAGATTGTATGTGTACACAAGGGTTCTCTTTAAAAACTTTATTACTATTGGAAAGGCAGATTTACAGAGAGATCTTCCATCCACTGGTTCACTCCCCAAATGACTACAGTGCAGGAGCCAAGCGGATCTGAAGCCAGGAGCCCCCTCAGGGTTTCCCATGTGGGTGTACAGTTCCAAGGGCTTGAACCATCCTCCACTGTTTTCCCAGGCTGTCAGCAAGGCGCTGGTTTGGAAAGTGGAGCAGTCGGGACATGAACTGGCACCCACATGGCATGCTGGCACTTAAAGGTGGAGGATTAGCCTGCTGAGCCAGAGCGCCAGCCCCAAAAGGGGTCTTTAAAAAGTTCAAGAGAATCATTTGTGATGAAGAAAACATGCATGGATTTTAGGAGGTTTTTTTTTTAACACCAAAATAAGTGTATCCTTTAACTCCTTTTTTTTCTGTAGGTGTTCTGAAGTACCCTCACGTACACCCTATTGATTCTATATCCCTGGCTTCACTTCCAGTCGCCTTACTCTCGGGGTCCCTAGCCGACTGGCCAGAGAGGAGTCCCAGAAGCACACTGCACGGGGTGGGCTGGCACGCTGCCTGCTTCTGGGACTCATCGTCGTTCTAGATTACATGGACCAGTGTCACCATGCTAACTGCAGGGAAGATCCAGAACGCAGCAGATCTGGGCAGGAGGAGCCAAACGTTCTGGCTTAGAAAGTGTTGAGCTCCAGATCCAGCTGTTCATGAGGCACCGAGGCGGAAGTGCCGAGTGGGCAGGTGGAAGTGAGAAGGGCGCTCGAGAAGCAGTCCAGCTGCAGACGGAGCCAGTGGCAACTGATGCGCCCAGCTCTGGCTGCTGTGGCCGTCTGGGGAGTGAACCAGGAGATGGAAGCCCCCCTCCCGCCCTCTGTGTGTGTGTGTCTGTGCCACTCTGACATTCAAATATAAATAAATAAGTAAAACTTTTTTAAAAAGGAAGAAAAAAGAAAGAGCGTGTATCTGAAAAGTAGAACAGCTGGGGTGGGGGTAAGACGGAAGAAGGAGGAGGAGAAGTGAGGACAGAAGGAAGAGTGGGAGGGAAGAAGGCGGGATCCCAGATGACGCAGCACTGGAGAACAGCTGCAGCCAGCTGATTCCACTCTGGCTCCTGCTTGTCCCACTGACTGGACGCACTGGCCATGTGCACTCTGACTGCAGCTGCACCAGCAGCCTGTGTAGCTGATTTCCAGAGCCGGCCCTGTCCCAGCTGCCCTGGCAGCCTGGTCACTGCTGGATCCCCCTGACGCAGCCCCAGGTCTGTGTACATCACTCACCGATGCCCCACGGCTGCCCGCACCTGCTCCAGTCCAAAGAGCAGAACGAATAGGCTTTGCAGATGGGTGACCTCCTGATGCAATCAGATGTGAACCTGGAAAAGCAAGCGGTATTAATCATTACGCCCGCTTCCAGCTGCTACCGTCAACACTTTCTGATGCCCATCTTGATAAGTGATAAATGATTAACGGCCCTCAATTGATGCCACCTGCCTCTGCTTATCAGAAACACGCCCAGGGCTGAGTCAACAGATTCTGTACCAGGAATCCCAGGAAGCCACAGCTGACTAACGGACTGACCTTGGCTCAGCCTCCTGGTTGAGACTATGACCAGCATAGAACCAGCCCTCCTGTACCCCCACTTTGTGCCCCAGAAGGCCGAGAGAAATGATGGAGAAGGGCTGTGAAGCAGGTGCGGAGGAAATGTGGGCAGATGGGGTCCTAAGTCCAGATGGCAGGGTGAGGGTGGGCTCTGTCAGCATCACCTGGAGGTGCCAAGCCACGGCCCTTGTCATTGTTGCCATTTGATAAATGGTGCATTGCTGAGATGAAAAACAAAATGGCCTCCTGCAGTCAGATAAACTCCTGCTGCATCATCAGGATCCCTACAACCATTGTGCTTGATGCAGAAGGTGGACAAAGCGACAGCCAGTAAGATTCCAGGTCTGCGAAAGTGTTCGGAACTGGCAAATCCTCCAAGACAGAGCAATTAGTGGGTGCCCAGGTCTGGGAGCAGTGGGCATCTTTCAGGATCCCAGCATGGGAATTGTTGCCCCCTTGGGTGAAGGGAATGCCCTGGAACCAGAGAGGGTTGGTGTTTGTATGACACCCTTGCAGCACATGTACTAAATGACACTAAAATGTCTGCTTTAACATGGTCAATTTCATGCAATGTGATTGCATTGAGGTTAAAGCAAAATTCTCAAGCAGTCTGAACCCACAGCCTCCTGTTGCCACCTTATTTGCCTGCTTCCTGTTCTGGGAAAGTGATTCCAAAGAGAATTAATTGGCCCCTCTTGTCACCTCCCATCCTCCTGTCAGCCACAACAAATGAGGATGCCACTTCTTGCCAACTGCAACCTCCCTTTGCAAAGGACCACGCCTCTTCCTTCTAGAAACTTCCTCCTCCCGGCTTTTAGCCACCACAATGGCTGGCTTTCCTCTGCTGCCTCACCTGCTGGATCCCTTGTGGTGGAATTCCCCAGGGCTCAACACCAAGCCTCCTTCTCTTTGTCCCCTTGTCTTTAAGGGAGACTCTCTCCAGGTAATAGCTTTCCACCCATCTGTGTGCTGCTTAACCCCAGATCTGGTCCCTCTACTCCACTCGGACCTCCCCTGAGAGCCAGACCACAGGTCCCCTGCCAGTCAGTGCCTGCCTTGGTTTCGTGTTTCTCAAACACAGCAGGCCCAAAGCTCTACCTCTTGTATCCCTGACCAACCTCTTCTTCCTCCAGCTGCTCCCACTCTTAGGCTCCTCCCAGGTTCTCAGCCCCAAAAGCCAAGCCTGTTTCAATCCCACGGCTTCCCTCCTGCTATCTGTCTGCAGCACAGGGCTGACCTCTCCATGAGCAAACAGACTTGACCCCCAGCACCCAGCAGAAGCATACAGGTTGCAGCTATTTTTAACAGATGCAAGTCACTCCCTCATCAAATCCAGAGACTCTAGGATCCAAAGCTATACTTAACTGTTCATCGGGAGCTTGCTCAGGCGTGCCCTGCCCCACTGAGCACAGCAGCCTTGGGTGACCCAAGGCTGGTCTCACCAACCTTGCTGCTCCCACGGAGACTCAGCAGGGGACTGGCAGGTCGGAGGACAGGCTGCACAGCAGGCTCTAGCCAACAGATCTAGGAAGGGACATCTGGACAACCGCACAAAGGAGCCCTGGGAGGGAGGAATCCCTTGCAGGCCCCCAATGAACCCAACTCCCAGCTGCATTCAGTGCCAGAGCACAAAGCATCTCCTGAACAGGCCCCAGCAAGTGCAGAGGGATCAGGGAGCCACGAGGCAGGAGGGGTCAGTGGTAACATCTGGGGAAGGGGACACCCATGAGCAAGCTGTGTTGGTGTTGGGGGGCAGCGGTGAAAATGCCACTCCAGGTGGCAGGGCCAGCTATGCGCTGCCCATGGGTCAACCTCCGCCAAACTCCACAGCAACTCTCCGAAGCCACTATTCCTCCTTTCACAGATGAGGAACTGAAGTGTGGAAAGGCTGCTAATTCACCCAAGACCTCTCAACACGTGAACAGCAAGCTGGGGGTTGAGTCCATGGGTCTGATGAAGCAGACCTGGCAGGCTTCCTGGAAGGTGTTGGCTTGGCTGGTGGGGCTGCTGGGGAAGGAATCAGACATTTGCAAGGCTGTGGAAACCTCCAGCCTGATGCCCTTGTCCCTTATCCCTTGCTTGGCCACCTGCACCATTTCCCTACCTTCTCT